TACATACAGACAAAAGAGCATAAATTCAGTACTCACAGAAAAAGTTAAAATTTCAGGTATGATACAGGAATATAGCAACGTTTGTAGGTTGCTCCAAGGATAGAAGTTGAAATCTCATAATAAAAGGATATATGCTTTCAAATCATAATTTAAAAGATATATTTAGCCAAACAATATGGTGTAAAGGAAAGGATGTGTAGGCCACAACATGGAGACAAATCACATGTATTTCCATTAGCTTGTTTCCATACTAGAAGTGCGGTCATGGTAGTATGAAGCAGGAGGAGCTGTCCCTCTTCCAGTTTCTGTGAGCAGGTTGCCAGAGCTCTTTAGATAGTGTTCTAATCTCTACATTGCAGTGACATGCATTGTCCATAGAACTTTCTATTAATTACACTTGTAGTTTTAAATTCCCATCATCCTTCATACCTGGCCATAGAAATTTTGTAGCAATTGAAAAATGTGGACATAATTGTGCGTCTGAAATGAAGTGCAACTTAAACCATAATTTCTTTTTCATAGGTTACTGGGTGGAAAAGCAGTCATCTTTTTAAAATATACATCCCATATTGAGAAGGTATTCCCTTGCTTTTAGTAGTTTTATACAAACTTTGAACTTTTTTTTTGAACAAATTCCAGATGTTCTTCTGTTATTTGCTTAATGATTTCTGATTTTTAAAGACAGACCAGCTTTTCTTATGACATATTTTTAGATAGGTCCAAGTAAAAACAAAGATAAATAAACAAACACCCAGACCCCAATCTTGTTCTCCCTGGAATCCCGGGTACTAACATTTATTTTAAAGTGTGTCACAATCTCAACTCCTTTATCTCCTTTATTAATGAGGATTGTTCCTTAGGCAGTCTGTCCAGGAGTGGGAAATGCAAAGTACTGTTTTGGAATTAAACTCATTTCCTGCTCTTTGGTCATAATGAACGTTAATATCTTTCCTTTAATGTATTCTGCTCCATAGATCAACTGTTACCTTGCTGTGTTCCATATGACTGCAGGCCCTTTTCCATTATCAGTTTTTTTAGAGCATTGCAGAACTATAAATTAAAATTGATCATGTAATACGGATATCAGTGGGCTTTTGCAGCATTCCTGACATACACTTACCATCATCTTTTGATAATTACTGTGTATGAAGGCTTAAATAAGGATACAGTTCTGTACTTAGCAGACCCTGTTTTATTCCTAAGTTAGTATTGCAGTCATATGTGGTAAACGATGACTGACGGTGTTTCATTAAAATGAGGCAGCCACTCTTCAGCATGCTGAATAAAGTCTTTAATGGATAGGAGAAATGTTGCTCAGCGTGTTTTTTTGGTTTGATCACCAATCTCATGCATAGTATTAATTACCTGAAACAAAGCAAATTGGCTATTAAATAACCTCAACAATTTAAACAGGAAGATGGTTGGAACAAAAGAATAACTTCTGCTTACGGCTAAGTACAGTATTGCATTATTTCCTTTCATGGAATGAAATACAATCTCTTGGGCTTTTGAGCTGCTGAAGATACTGACAGCCATCACAAAAACAGCGTCTTTATAAAACAAAGTGATTCTGTGCTGAATTTTTTGTTTGTTTTTCTGCTTACAGTTTTACCATAGTATGAAGATTATTTTTCACGTGCTGGTACAGCAGAAGTAGAAGGGCTATATTTGCATGTTTATGATAATTCTGGATGATAAATCGTTCTAGCTCCTAATCATTAGATTCAATTTTTAAGTCTGTTTTTGTTTGTATATTCAAATGACTTTATGTTCTTTTTGAAATGTATAAACATGAAGCTGTAATTGATACCACGTAATTTTTTTACAAGAAAAATTAATGAGTTTTCCCTCAGTCTTGCAACAGTTCATTTTACAGTCTGATCATTAGTTACTGCCAGCACTGTGACAGCCTTTAAAACATAGCCTAAGCTCTGTTTAACCTTCTTGCTGAACTGTCTTACCACTGAAGCACTGTAATGTATGAAGAGGTGTAAAATTCTGAAATAATGTTTGAACCATTCCAGATCCTGTCTTGCTATCTATGTGCTGCAAGGTCCCTTGTTAAAATACGTTTCTACATAGAGTACAGTGGATACAGTTGTTGTGGATTACAGGAATGCTGACATGGAACATGTAAAGTGATGGACCCCAAAGAATTGCTTATTACTGCTCTAGTGCAAGACTTTGTGGCAGATAACTGCTTAGCGGCAGTCAAAAAAAGCAAGTGAAACATTAGAAGCTATTAAGAAAGAAGCAGAACAAAAGAACAAACATCGCTGCACCATTGTTGAAATCCATGATTTTACCACTTTTGGAATACTACGGAAGAGAGAAGAGCACAGATCATCCAAGATATGGAATGACATCTGTATGAAGAAGATTGAAGGTTTTTGTTGCCTTTTTTTTTTTTTTTCTAGCCTGGAAGAGAGGGCTCAAGTTCGAAGCTATGAAGTTATATGGAAGAACCAGAGCCTGTGGAAATAGGAGTCAAATTCAGAAGGAGGTTCTCAATGCGAGGGGGAAGATCTGCTGAATGTTCTTTCCAGAGGACTTAGTGGGTGCAAGGAGTTTACCTGTATTCAAGGTGAGTATCAGACAAGTCCTTATATGTGAGATTGGACTAATGAGAAAACATGAGTTTGAGATCTGACACTACAAGAGCATATCCAGAGAAGGGCAGTGAACCTGGTGAGGGATCTGGAGCACAGGTCTTGTGAGGAGCAGCTGAGGAAAGGGTGTTTGTTTAGTCTGGAGAAGAGGAGGTTCAGGAGAGACATTATACGTCTTTATAGCTCTCTGAAGGGAGGTTGTGATGAGGTGGGAGCCAGCCTCTCTTCCCATGTAATTAGCAGCAGTACTAGAGGGAATGGCCTCAAGTTGTGCTGGGGAAGTTCAGTTGGATGTTAGGAAGGATTTCTTCTTGGAAAGCGTGTTCAGACACTGCAATGGGCTGCCCAGGGAGGTGCTTGAGTCACTGTCCCTGGAAGTGTTCAAGAGACGTGTAGGTTTGTACTAAGGAACATGGTTTAGTGGGGAAATATTGGTGGTAGGTGGACAGTTGGTCTAGAAGATATTGAATGTCTTTTCCAACCTTGGAAAACCTATGGTTCTATGCTGTGCTAATGAAATACTCAAAGTTGAAAATAAGTTCTGAGTGTTAAGTTGTAAGAGGGAAGTGTTACACCAGCTATCTGGATCAGTGTCTGCAGACAGGCACCTTCCACCAAGCCTCCAGTGCTTCCTTCAAAGGAAGGATCAGAAAACCAAAGCCTCTACTTACTACTGCTTGTAACTTCCTCTTCAGTCTCTCAAGCTTTCCCTTACGCTTGAAAGCAGATTTTTATCTCTGGCCTCATCAAGTTATGGCTGTTTGCAGCTCCCTGCCATTTTGCTGGCTTCTTAACCCTCTCTTCTCAAGCCTTTCAGTTTCCTGACCCCATGTTGTTTAGATATCTGTTGCCCTACAAAGAAAAAAATAATAATTTAAGTGTAGACAACGAGATATGATGTGTTCTACAGGCCTCTTCCCAGACAAGTATTTCTCTCTCCTATTTTATCAAAACACAGTTTTATTCCTTCTCACCACAGTTATCAGAGTGGGAACAGAACTCCTTTAACAGATAATTGTGATATAGAATGGAACATCATTTTTGATGTATACAAAACTTTTGTCAGATTAAAATCCATGCACTTTGAGGCTCTCATTAACTGGTACAGATTACCCTGCATGAATTACTTACTGTTATGATTTATGACTGCAATGATCCTTGCCACATCTACAAACTCTTCCGGAAGTTATTTTTTATTTCCATTACAATAGGATGACTTGGGCCTTTCTTTCTGCTGACCCTTGTAAGAAATTTCCAAGCCACTCTTTATTAAACAGGGAAGTATACTGCAGGCTGGCAATGTTTCCTGAGCTGGGTAACTAATTGTTTTCTACGTGATACATTACACAGCTCTTGTTTTTCCTGGAGGAGTATTACTGTAGTTTCTGTGGTTTCCTACTGAAGCATAAAGCAATTTCTAATGGTTTGTGTAGAAACAGAGACCAGGCTGTTGTAACCATATGCTATTACTTTCTGTGAGATTTTTTTTAATTGTTATGTCAGAAGAATGTTTTTTTTAACCTGGTGAACCGAGAATGAGGTTTTAAGAGAAAATGTGTATTTCTCTTCTGTCTGGGTAAGTCATTTCTTCTGGCATACAGCACCTTTGAAACCAGCAGGACAGAACTTACTACAAGTGTCTTTGGTTTTAAATACTCTCCTAGATAAAATGGATGTCTGCTTGGGTTTAACAATGGAGGATTAAGGGAAAGTTTATTTTTTGATGAATATTTTTCCAGATGTCACTGCCATGCCACACAGAGTAATGCTCTGTTGTCAAGGGTCTTCTGCCATTATGTGGCTGTGCTGAGTGACCTGAAAGCGCAGGAGGCACGCGGGGAAAACTGACAAAATTAAGAACCTAAGATTTATTATTAAGGATTGTATTTATTACACAATATTATATAATTATGTTATTACAACGTTACCACGCAGAACAAAGTTACATTCTTGGATAGGGCTTGCCTGACTCGGGTAATGCAATACAGGAGCCCAAACTAAAAAGTGCTGCGTTGAGAAACTAACCCGAGTTCACACTTTTCTATACAGAGCGACAGTTTGGGTAAGTTTCCAACCTTGTCTCTTACGGACGAGCTTCGTAAGGTTAAGAACACGGGTGAAAATAAGCAGCCCCCTCCTTTACTTTACTCCACGTTTCTCTACGAGATAGGCTCCGGCACGGCGCTGTGCCTGCAGCCCCGCGCTCCCCGAGGCCGCCGCGGCGCATCGCCCGCCCCGCGAGGGGGAGGCAGCCGCGGGTGCAGGTGCGGCCCGCCCTAGGCGCGGCCCTCCCGCAGGTACTAATCGCCGCCCTGCCCCACCGCCCGCCCGCATTCGCCGCCCCGCTGAGCCTCGAGCCGCCGCTCCCGGAGCGCGGCCCGCGCGGCCGGGATGCTGGGGGGCCAGCAGCAGCTGCAGCCCCTCGCGCTGCCCCCGCACCTTCAGCAGCAGCACCAGCAGCACCAGCACTACTACCGGCGCCAGCAGCACTACAGCACGCTGCCTGCCGCCCGCCGGCCCTGCCGCGAGCCGCCGCCGTGCCGCGAGCCGCCGCCGTGCCCGGAGCCGCCGCCGTGCCTCGAGCCGCCCGCCCGCCCCGAGCCGCCGCTCCCGCCGCCCTGCTTCGAGCCGCCGGCTCCGCAGCGCCAGGAGGGCGGCCCGGCGTTCGACCGGGTGCGGACCTACGGTCCCGGCTGCCGGCGGGTCGGCGCGTCCTGCTCGTCCCGCGCCTCCTCGCCGCTGGAGCGCTCGCACGGCCACCAGCAGCTCAGCGCCGGCTGCCAGCCGCCGCCGCAGGTACGGGCTCGGGTGGCGGCCGCCGTCTGCGCGGAGCGGGGCCAAGCGCCTCGGAGCCGCCCCTCGGCCGTGCCCTTTGTCTCCGCGGCAGTGCCGGGAGGCGCGGCTTCCCCGAGCGGGGAGAGGCGGCTGCGCGGTCCGTAGCCTCCAGATACGCTCGGCCGTTCCGCCGAAGCTCCTTTAGAAAACGCGCGCCTCGGAGGGCTGCCCCGGGGCCCGCCTGGCCCGCAGCGGGAGCGGCACCGGGGGCTGCCGGGGTGGGAGGAGCCGGCCGGCGCCTGCAAGAAACGCGCTTTAAGCGCCGGTGCGCTTTCCTTTACGTTTCTTTTTTTTCGTTTGCATCAGTTTTGCATTTGGTTCCTGTTTGGTAACTCCAATGTACTTAAACAACCACGAAAACACAAAACCCCACAAACTTCCAGGTAACTTTTTCTGCTGTACCCATTTTGCCCGTCAGCAGAGCGGTGCCCCGCCGTGACGCCCGGTGCGGGCTCTGGGCCGCTCCCGCCCTCCTGGAGCCCACAGCCGTCCCTCACACCGCCGCCCCCGGCCCGGCCCTCAGCGCCCTGCGGAGAACGGCTGCCACCCCTGCGGGGCACGGCGGCCGCTGGGAGCCGGGGAGCGCCGCGCTGACGGCGCTGCGGTGGGACGCGGTGTTCTGGGCTGCGCGGTGCGGGTTGTCTTCGGGTAAGGTAACGTTCCTCAGAGCAAACGGCGGAGTCTCGGGCTTCCTCTGCTGGGATGGGTGCACCGACCTCTGATTGCAGACTCAAGTGCTGTCTCTGCGCTGCAAGGTGTGTTTAATTTTCAACATCTGTTATAGTTTCTGAGTCCTTTAAGTCATGCTAAGAAAAATGTTTTCTTGTTGAAGTGTTTTGCTGGATTAGACTTTAACAATAAAAAAGGGCGTAGCTCAGATTGGGTTTTGTGTGGGTAGCAGTTGTAATGGCACAAGGGGCAGATGGCTAATAAAGGTTATTAGGAAGTTACGCAGGAAGAGAAGGGTGAGGAGGAGGCCGGCTGTGAGCAGGCTGCAGCTGTGTGCCTGGTGCTGACTGCAGCTGAGAAGTCTGGGGGAAAACATTTGGTAAAGAGCTGTGCCCAGAAGAGCACTTCTGCAGTGGATTCTGTTGTTCTTTGAGCAGATCCTGTATAGCCTGAACAAAATAGCATAGCATCGCATGCCTCCTGCAGAGATTATAACTCAACTCTCAGATCGCAGTTAGCGGCAGCCTAATGCTGGAGTTTAATCTTCTTATCACTGATAAGCAAAAGGATTTTCTTTGGGCAATATTTAATTTGCTTTTGGAGAGCTTTTGTAGATTGATTATATCATCACTATTGATACCCTGTCACAGCATTCAGTCTTATGGTTGGCATCCCCTGTTCAGTTTATGTACTCTGCTAATAAGCCGGGGGGAGGGAGAAGTAACATGTGCATAAAGTGTGTGGTAGTGCTTTTTGTGGTCACAGAGTGTTCAGGGGTCAGTTTTCTTCCCAATTTTTGGGTTCTAACTTTGCTTTATCCTTGATGCAGAAGCCAAGTGCCGCTCCCAGCTGTGGCAGATTTCATTTGGAGTAATTGAAGGCAAATTTGCTCTCATCTGCCTGAACTAAATGGAAAATAGTGCTCAGCATAAATTTTCTTGGTGTGAGGTGTCTGTTTTTGGTGTAGGTAGGAGTACAGCTCCCAAAGCATTTGCAATAGTTCACTCGTGAGGAACTCCGTGAGGTTTCCATGGTCAGCTCAGTGCTGCAGCATGGAGGGCTCTTGCCTCCCATTGTGAGGATGGTGCTGTATTACTGTGGTGTCAGCTAAGTTGTAGGATTTCTCTGTATTCACTGCAACGATCCCCAGAGGTGGCCTCCCTCTTTCAGCTGCCAGATGTAATTCTGAAGTTCTGATTAGATGGCCGGGTTGTTTGTAATTAACGAGACAGTATGCTACATAGAAAAGGTTTGGCGTTGGTGGAATTCTGACCGTAATCGCAAGTTTGTCAGAAGCTGAAGGGAAACTTGTTGGATATAAAGGTCAGTGTAATGATAGCTTTTCCCCCTAAAATTTGCGCACAGTGATTGGATAAATCTATCAAAGACCTGTTTTAAGATCTTAAAATTGTAAAGACAAGCAGACGTCACTGTGAAAAAAGCTGATGTTTGCCTTTTGAAGTTACCCTTGTAAATGCAAACCCAGAACTGCGGTCCCATCCTTACAAATCCCAGACCCAATCCGGACACTGGGATCCATGGCAGCACTGGGCTCTCCTGCCAGCATAGCGCTCACCTTCCTCCTTCTGTTACAGGATGTCCCACCTCTGAGCACTGTAGGAAACCCAGGAGAGGCTTAAGGAGAAGAACCCCAGATGTACCCTTGGGGACAGCAGAGGTCTGCGGCAGCCTGGGGCTGTGTCCCAGCGAGCTGGGCTGGGGCTGGCGCTGTGCTGCAGCGTTCCTGGGGCTGGGGTTCCCTCCTGGCTGGTGCAGGCTGGGCTTGTTGGGCTGGTCTGGGAGGGGAGCAGGCACAGCCCTTCTGCCGCGGGGCGAGGGAAGCATGTCTGCATCTGAGCATGCCGGAAGGGAGAGTTGGGTGCCTTACAAATAGGTGTCATTTTATCCAGACAAACCTAGGTTCTGTATGTTATTCTGCATGTGATTTATACCGTCCTTTTGAATACTACAAGATTAAAAATGTATTCTAACTTAAAATTTGCTAGTCTTCTGATTTCTGAATTTATTGCTCTGAGAGCACATAAGTGCCTAGGTACAGTAATTTACAAGTTATCCTTCCTGAAATGGATAGCATGAGTTACATATTCCAAAGTCCTGTGGCAGTGGCATTTACATGAGGCAGGTTTGTACAGCTTTGCACCACATTGAAAATGTGCCTTTTCATTTTGTAGACAATGCTCATCTTGTTTTCATGTGCCACACCACACCACGGTAGCCAAGGCTGAAAAAGAACAAGCATCTATTTCCCTTTGATGTCAGTTGTGTTGCTGTGGGTGCTCCTGTGCGGAAGAGGAGACTGGGCTGTGCAAGGCATACAGCAGGACCCTTGGTCGCCTTGGTTCTGGTTAATGTGTGCATTTGTCTACTCAGTATTTTACTTTTCATTTTGGCTTTTCAGGTGTCAGTGAGGTGTAGAACTGGGGCCATGTGCTCCCTGCTCCCTTGTGGTCTTGTTGCAGTGTCAGGTTGTGATTCAGAGCTGTGCTGATTTCAGGGGGCTTTGTCCTGTACTGCCTTTGCTGCAGCCATACCCCAGGGGGTGGGAGAGGAGCGAGAAGGTGAGGAGCTGAAACTGTTGGGTAACATGAAAGCCCAGCACAAGCAACGCAGAAGGAATTCATTTGCCACTTCCCACTGGCAGGCAGGTGGTTTCAGCCACCTTCAGGAAAGCAGGGCTTCACATGTAGTGGTTTCTTGGTCAGACAAATGCCATTGCTCCAAACGTCCCCCCTTTCTCTTCCCTCCCGCCAGCTCTTGCTGCTGAGCACGGTGCCATGTGGAATGGAATGTCCCTTTGGCCAGTTTGGGTCAGCTGTGCTGCCAGGAGCAGCACAGTGCAAGCTATGCAAGGAGCTGAAATGTCTGTGGCTCTGTGCAAGCAGTGCTCAGTAGCAGTGTGTCATCGTCACTGTTTTGATCAAAAATCCAAAGCATGGCATCATACGAGCCTCTGCAAGCAACTTTATCCCAGCCAAATCCATGACAGCCCCGAAGGCCTAACTCAGGTACATGGAGTGGGGGAGGACCAAGGAGCAGCTTTCCAAGTTTTCTGCACCAGTTATCATTTAGAGATTTCTTAATTACTGTGATTGGTGCTGAAACAATTTCTTCTCTACTTTGATTTCTCTTCCCTGGTGATGTTATGATTCACTCTTGGGAGATTTGGAAAACTGCTTCAGGCATCCTAAACTTACACAACAGTTCACAACTAGAAATCTGACCTACTTCGGAGTTGCTCTTAAGAACGTCTCTGAGGCTCAACTAAAGCAGTGTATACTTTCCAAGCCCACAGGTTAGGGGAATAAATGATTTGTTAGGAAAATTGAAAGTCTGCACTGAGAGGAGGAATAAACAGCATGTTGTAGACTAACAAATTGCCTAGTGCTTAGATGAGATTCATGGGAATTTTGCTCACTTGGATAAACAACTGAACATGGAGATTTCAAGCAGAATGCGTCAACTTTCTCTTCTTGGTCCGCAGGATGGAGTAGACAGCACAGGAGGAGAAAAAATTTGTAGTAAAAAAGTAACAAAACTGCTGCAATTTGTGGATTTCTGTAATTTAGAAAAGCGTATTTGTTTTTTCTTCAAAAATGAGCAAATGTTCTGTGTGAGCATCTTTATAGGTGTTAATTACAGTGTTTCATGCCACTTTTTGAAGTAACTGCACTCGCTGGTTCATGAGATAATGGTTCACTGGTAGTGGGATCTGGTTTGTTGGCAACTTTTATTTTGGTGATTAAGCTAAGCACATATTTTCTTCCCATGGTGAAGCAAGAAGTTCTTTGTAGCAGTACATTGAATTTGCATGAGCTGACATTCTTATGTGACATGTAAGACTGTAGGTTAAAGACAGTATTACATGGAATAGAGATGAGATCCTTGAAGTGCCGGCCCAGCATGTTAGCTTTCATTTGTATCCTGTTCTTTTGGCATTTACAGAAAATAAGGACCGATTTCCTCTAACCTATGAATAGGAGATTGAGGGAAAAAAACCAAACTTCTGAGAATCCATACTATGGCATAGCATTTCCTGTTGGGTGGAATGGCCCTAGCTTTAAAACTTTGCTAAGTGACATTAGCCAACGGATCTCAGAATGTTTATAGCTGATGGCAATATTCAGATTCATAAGTGTATGTAAGATGAATTCTGAGCATAAAAGATTTTGAAGTACAACCATCACTGAATCTTTATTTTCTTCCTTGCAGGGCACTGTTCGAAGGATTATCATAGAGAATCCTGAGCAGGTAGGAAAACTGTTTGCTGCTGGAGTCTTTGTACCCCTTCCTTCCTAAATTGCCCCAGCTTGGAAAGGTACTTCCTTCCCTTTGTAATGCCACACTGAATATTTTGAAATCACAAGGTCCAAACCTCTGGGAGAGAGGGAACTATTAGGAACTGAAAGCACTACAGAATTGCCAGCTGGGCTTCTCAGCTCTTGGCATTAAGTCTCCATTAATATGTTTCAATTATATTGTTAGCAGATAATTTCTGCTTATTTTGGATGTTGTTAAGGGGGAAGCACAGTTGCTTTGTTTCCAAATGGAGAAGATCAATTGAAAAGAGAATAGTTCATAAAGTGACAGAGGAACTTGTAGAGATTTAAAGAAAGCTCTTTGAAAAACCTTCTGCCTTTTTGTTAATTCTTTTGTGACAAACTCCTGAGTGGAATTAGATGTTCATGTCTGGATGTTATGGGTAGAAACATCGTGAAGGTAGGGTGCTCAACAATTGTCTCCTTCCAAGAAGAGGTTGTAAGCAGCCCACCAGGCGGCCTTTCATGACAAGCTGTACGCATTTAACCTGGGCTGGGGAACAGCGTGGCTGAAAGATGCAGCAGCCGCACCAGCAGCTCTGTCTTCACACTCCTGAGACCCCAAGCAGTTTCAGAAGCAGTCTGATAAGTACTGTATTTGGCTCTGTTCTCTCAGAGCTCTCAGAGCAGGCCTACCCAAATTGGTCACTCAGTGGTGCCTGGGTGAACATTTAAAGTGAACAAATTTCATAGCTGCATGAAATCTAGCTAACGTGACGTAATGTCCACCTTTGGCACACAGCCTGCTCATTTTCTTCTGCCTAGCAGGATTCTGCAGTGAGAGAAAACAGTGCATTTGGCATTATACCATGGGGGGTGAAGGGAAATAGAGATGCAAGATGAGAGTCTGTGTATGTGCTGTGTGCATACTGCAAAAGAATAAATCTGAGTTCAAGAGGATGAAATGAATGCACACTTAAATATTGGTAACTCCAAAAAAAACCATCTTAAAGTGCCACTTTGAATCACAAAAGAAAGTCATCACTGTTTGGTTAAAGTTGTGCTAACTCTGAATTTGCTGCCAACGTTTTTGAGTGCTTTTTATTAAAATCTGTTACAGGAGCCATTATCCTCATTTCTTAGAGGGGGCAATTTCAGTCCTGGAAATAATGTCATCTATGAAAAGACAATAAGAAAATATGAGCTATTAAATCCCCATCAAGTAAGTTGGTTATTTCTGTTATCTATTGCAAAGGAAGATTCAGTCAGTACAAGAAAAGTAGCATTTGTTGTGCTTTGTGAACTAATTGTAATGTTGTGCTAATGTGAACTAATCCAGAGAACTGCCTTGCTGAGGAAGAGAACACCTCTCAAAGACTGGAACATAAACTACTTGGGTGGGTGGGTGATTTTGCCAGCAGCATTTTCTTGGATTATAAAAACAGGATGGATGTGTCCGTGATATGGTGTACACTCTGATCCTGGAACTGCTGAAATGTTTGTAGAGGAAAATGCCATCAGTTATTTCCTGGAAAATACATTTATATTAACTGAAATAACAAACGCTCAGTAATTCAACTGGAGCTCTTTAATCTCTGGAATACTTAATGGAACAGGATGCACGTGTGTTTTAAGTTAAATAGTGGAGGTTCCTATTGCCTGAGCATGTTAAGTGGAACAATACAATAAAGCATACAGCTCAATTAAGAAAAGTGTGTCTTCTTTGCTTTCATCTGCAGCTGCTAAAATGTGAGGAGTTGGTAAAATACAGTGTTGAAGTGTAATAGCATGAGGCAAACTCATATTCAAATAGTAAGAAAAAGCAATTTTATTAACATCATTAAAATACCTGAAACAGTCTTTTGATGCCAAAACACCTTTCATTCATTTACGTATTTTTATTATGCTTTCATCTCACTAAGATGTGTTCAGCAACTTAAAGAAAATTCACTCCTGTTTTTGTTTTAGGAGAAGCAGTACCAATTTTCCCACCAGTGTCAGATTCCACAGCTGTCTGATCAGTGCTGTGCCATCCAGCCCTGCCAGCAGCCCGAGCAGCCCCCAGTCACACAGCAGTGCCAGCAAACACAGACCGGCAGCCCCTGCGAAGTAATGCCCATCTCTGTGACTGATGACTGCAGAGGAAGTGCAGTGAGGAGGGTGACAGTTCAAACCTGCGAACAGGTAAGAATCATTTGCTGCATGTTTTACTACTCACAATATGCTTTTGGACATGGAGTACAAAACTTTACAGATAGATTAAGTTACTGATTTCTGCTCTTCAAAAGTCCACACTCAAAATCATAGCGTGGTAATTAAGCATTATGTCCCTTCTGTAAGTATAAACAGCAAAGTGCTTAAGTGTACCCATCAAGTCTTGCCGCTTTGTTGTGGTGCTTTTTCCTTTCTTTATCTCAGAGTGCTGCTCATTGATTCAGTCAGGTTTCATCTGTTAGTACAACAAAGGCTGAGTAATACAAGACTTATGCTTCTTTCCAGTTTTAGTAAAATGTAGGTAAAAAGTGCTTTATAAACTGGACATAGGCCAATTCAGCATTGCTTTCTATCTGACCTGCTCAGTGGGGGTCTGAAATAACTTCATGTGGAAGTTGGTGAGTAGCACTGTTTTGGCTGGGGGTTCACATGTGGCAGTCCTGTCCCATGCATCTGTTGAACATACAGGTGGTGAGACTGACATACTGGGTGATGTCTGTATTGGTCTGTGGAAATTTTCCATAGACAAGAGTCCAATAAAACAACTTAGTTAAACTCAGTTTAGCCTGTTTTCACTTTTATTATTCATGTAAGTAAACATTTTATCTTCAGTTAAAGATGCTTTAACATTCTGTTGGGTTTAAAAAAAAAAAAAAAAAAAAAAAAAGAAGGAGGTGGCTTATGTGAGTGCCTTTCTGTAAGTTCTCAGTGCTGTCCATATGCATTCTGCCCACTACTACAGCTATGGAAACATTAAAGATCATTAAAGGAGGTTTTACTAATTATCTATGCTTTCTGTATTAGAATAAGAATGATAACATTGCTGAAAAAGATATTGCTTAGCCTATTTCTTGTTGCTGTAAAGGAAGAATTTACTTCTGTATAGTTTACTGAAAACCAGAAGACATGGAACACACAATAGCCAGGAAAAGAATAGTATAAACAAATCACACATTGGTATGAGTAAACAAAAAATTCCATCACGTTGGTAGCATTTTCACATGCAGCTTTCTTCCCAAGGAAGGGAATGGGTTATGATCATCTTGCTTACCATCTGTTACTTCAATTGCTCTCAGGAGAACAATGACCAGCTGGACTGCCGCTACTTCGGTGAGCTCCTTGCTGAACTGAACCGCAAGACCAACGACCTGTACAGCTGTTTACTACAGCATGTGGAAAAGATAGGAGGAAGGTATTGGCCTTATGTCTGTCACCTGACATTTTGGTATTCCAGAAATCCTAGGAATGCACAGCTGGGAGCACAGATACAAGTTGATTGAGTCTTGACAATGTCCTTATCCTTCCCTCACAATCAGCGTTACTTTGGTACTCCCCTCTCACTCTCACTTGGTGCTTTCAAAGTTCACTGAAATGAGTGTAACTGCTCTGTAGCATGGGAAGAGTGGGATTTAAACATCACAAAGAACCCCAGCACTGCTAAGAAAACACCTGATGCATGTCAATAAACTTCAGCTTAGTTCTGGGTAAAGACATCACCCAAACCAATTAAGAACCAGGTTAACCAACCATCACTGGGACAACTGCCCAGAGAAACAGAGAGAGTTGGCCTGTGCTGACTGTGCTGCTGTTAGTAATGCGGTCTCCTCACACAGCTGTACAAGGAGTAATATTTAACAACGCACTGCCTGTTGCCTTACAGGGAGGCTAATGGCTCTTAATCTTATGATGAACCCTTTTTGTTCTGCACTGCAAAGACAGATAATCTTTTTGTAGCTGTCAAGTGGTGAAGTTCTGCAAAGTCTTTTGTTCATCAGCCCACTGCATTTTGTCTGTTTTCCAGGAACCATGACATCGAATTTACGAGTCAGGTAAGCATCAGGGGGGCTCTTACAAAGCTGATCTCTAAAAGTTGCAGTAAGAGTGGTGTGGATCTTGGAGCAAATGAGGCCAAGCCAGTTTAATTGAATGATGCTGATCTTTTGTTAGTTCATGATTTCTGCTTGTTAATAGCATTCAGAGCCTGAAACCTACTGCTGGGTATGCATTTGCAAGTGTGATAATACTGAAAGAAAGGAACTTCAATAATTTGCATTATTATTATTACTATTGCAGTACGAGTCAAATTTTGAGTCTTTCCTGTTACACCAGTAATGGTTTCATTGTAAAACAAAGGTACAGAAATGCATATATTTTCAGTATGCATTTTTGCAAAGGACGTTTTATTCTCTTGCCAACAAAGCAGCTGCTTCACAGCATGCACTGCTGTGCACTGCAGAAGTAAAAAAAAAAACCTGCCTCTCACTGTGATGAGAGGAATTTAAGTTGCCAGAATGACTTTCTAGATTTCCTGACTGCTCGCTTGTGGGAATCCAGGTGTAATGCATACAATCATCAGGGCCTTTCTTCTTTTTAAAGTCGTTATGCTTGTGGTAGAAATGTTTGTTTAGGATTAAATTACATGAAGCAATACCACTTCATGGCTGTCAGCATCTCCTGTAAAACTTTAGTCATCATTTGTTTGTTGACAGTCTTTTCAATATTTAGAAACATGAGATTTGCTCATAATCATTAACTGCTGCGAGCTCTGTTTTAGAATTAAGTGCTATTTGTTAAGAGAGGACGATTTTGAATGCTGCTTTTAAAATAAACTTTAAGCTTAGTGTAGATTTAAATATAAACTTCATGTATCACTTCATCTCAGTTTTTATATGCCACACTTTGGAAATTTTCTGGATATGCTTTGATCTATTTTCATTCTTATTTGCCTTGTGCTAAACATGTTTTTCATAGCAGAGCTGTGTAATTAATTAAGAAACTTCATAATGATCAACCAGGCAAAATTCTTAATCAAGATGTCTCTTTCTTCATCCTTTGCTTAGACTGAAGATATTGAAGAATTAATTCCCAAAGGACTGTCTGAGGCAACAAAGCAGCAGATTCGTTATCTCCTCCAGGTGTGTAAATAACATGGGGGGAAGCCTCCAGTAACTTGAAGCAGTAGAAGCAGCTGTACACAAACATACCAGGGAATTTGTATGTAACACTGCTCACTATTCTGCTTTTTCCATTTATTCTCTCTGCAGGCTATGGAATCACACAGGTGGCTCAGGTGCCATGCAGCAGTTCATTTCACTGCTCACTTGTTTATTTTAAACTGTTTTACTGGAACTTCCTTGCAGTTTTGCTGGAACCCATTTTGGCTTTTGGCAAGGAATGAAAGAAGCTGAATTTCAGTATTTTTATTTGTGTTGTATATTAATGCTTTACTTTAGAAACTAAAGGCAAACAGTACGTGTCTTACTGAGCAATGAATCAGGTATCAATTACTAATTACATATGCTGCCTCTCTCTAACTTGCCTTTACAAATGGTCTGGCTAAAAACACTGCTAAATGCACTCATCGCCATGGCACACTTACAGTATCTGGTAATAGAACGTATCACTTCTGGTTTGGGTCCATTTATAAATGGCTTTTGGCTTTTTTCTCATCATATTTCCTACCTACTTAACGAACTCGATGCCTGTGTGTTACAAGGCATTAATTCAAAAGGAACAAAGTGCCTAAAAAAGTCTTAGAAAATGTGGGCATTTCAAAGAACAGTGTGCACAGTAGTTCTAGAAGTTATTTTCAGCTGTAGAGCAGTTCTGTGCTTTTATATATAGTTAAGCATTTTGTAAACAAAACTCACTACTTAGAACAATATATATTTTATTTTTTTTCCTCCTAGATGAGAGTGACATCAGATAAATCTTTGAGACTTGTGCTTTCCACTTTCAAAAACTTACGTGAAGAGCTCTGCCATTTGCAGGATGACCTGGGGGTAAGTTGTATTTCTCAGTTCCCACGGCCTCATTCATTTGTTGGTCTCTCTCAGTAAGAAGTCCGTTATGATGAAATTTAACTCATGAAGTCCAAGCTTAGTTGCTTTAACAAAAACGGGTGGTTCACTCATTGACTTGCAAGTGAACAGTGAATGAGGTAAGATTTCTTCCTAGCAGTGGTTTTCAAGTGTTCAGTTTGTCAAAACCTAAAAAAAAAAACACCAAAAAAACAAAAAAACCCAAAAAAATTAAATCAAGAAAGGCTCTGAGTAGATTTAGACTTAGCTCTGCATTAGTATATACGATCTGTGTGTGCCTACATCGATGGAGATGTTTTGGAACTGTGTTTCTGTACATGCCCTGTCTGTGTTATAAACACTGAGTCCTTACTTAACAGCACTCTTCTAGGAAGCAGGAGCGCTCAACTCCTGCCTCGTGTTATCTCCCACTCTATAGGAAAGCTGCTGTCAGCTGGCACCTTTAACAACTCAGCAATCCTGAGTTATACAAGCATCACACTTTGCAAACTGGAGCTCTACAGCTCCAGATAGTTACTGTTAGGAAAGCAGATACATTTCTCATGGACAGCCCCAGTACTTAACATCACTGGAAGCTTCAGAGTGTTCTCTTGTAAAATACAAAGTTTGAAGAAGAGAGGGGGGGTTTACCAGTCACCTCTGGCATGAAATGGGTCTGTGCAGTGAAGTACTCTTTGGATTTTTTTTCTTGAATTCAGTTTAGTAACTACACATAACAAAGTCTTTCTAGGACACATTGAAAGAGCAGTTTCTGAGACTACTGCTTACCATGCAATATGAAGCCTCATGATGAGCATGGCTGCTGTAATGAACACATGAGCTTTTAATGAACAATGAGCTTTGCAGTTTAAGAAAAAACAAGTTTCAAGAAAACTGGGTATTTATCACTTAATACAAAATATTTTGCGCTTTGAACACACTTAGGACTAAGCTTACTGATAAATTGCAGCTATTTACAGCTAATGTTTTTGTCTTACAGAAGCTAGAAACTGACAATGTCTTACTTAAGAAGGATTTGGCTTTTAAAGAATCTCAAGTAAAAGAATATGAAACTATGTTGTCTTCTCTGAGAGAGAATAATCGTCAGCAGCAGGTAAATCTAAGAATATAGTTTCAGTATAATTACTATCAGCCATAAACCAGCTTCTGTGCTGGCTTCTGAGTGTTCCAAGTAATTGCTGCCTGGCTATATGCTGTGTGGATGATCCTATTACTCCCCTAAGAAACACCATGCATTCATTCCACTCCTGTGCTTTCCAGCAAGGACTCAGAGACAGTACTGCCAGGTGTCGGTCTCTGGAAGAACAGCTTCTTTCTCTTCAACTCAACGAAGGAGAAAAGGATTGTCAGTTAAAGGAACTGGAATACTCCAAGCGTGCCTTGGACCAAGAGATCCAGAGTCTTAAGCTACAGGTAATAAATAATACCTTCACTTGCTCTTTGTTCAGCTGCTGTTATTCACAGATGCAGATGGCCTGGTGAAGAAAATAATATTAAAGAAATCTCTTAAAAATAAAAAATGCTTTTTTGCTTTAGATCTGCTCCAGTCCAACAGTTCAGACTACCACAGATGAACTCTCCAGCCGTTATGTAGAGATGATCAATAACTTGAGAGAGGATAAAGACCGCGAGATCCGCAGTCTCAGGGTATGTTGATGAACTTGGTATATGTGCACTTGCCACCTTTTGTGACAGGAGGTATCAGGTTATTTTTTAATTAAGAAAAGATCTACCAGATGCTTTTTACGTATCTTTTGGTTCTGCAATTATTTTATACAGCGCTAATGATAGCACTGAAACTCATAAAACTGTGATTTGAAAAAAACAAAGTCCTTTGACGTTCGTGATTTTAACCAACAAAATACATACAGAGTTTACTGTATACTGCACACTTTCTGTATACAGAAAGGTTACCTGCAAGGAGCACCAAACACCAAACTAACTATTTCTCAACCTGTATTTCACAGTCTCAGTTGTGCCAATTCCAGCAAGATATATCAAGGCAAGAAGGGAACAACAGCGACTTGCAATTAAAGCTGCATGAACTGACAGCAATGCTGGAGGAGAAAGATGTTTGTATTAAACAGCAGCAAGAGGTAAAACAGAACAGTGCATTTCTTGTTTAAGAATATTGTATGCTTGAGCCTTCACTTGCTTTGAAGGTAGCAGTTTAATCAGGAAGTCACGTGTACCCTCCTGGTTCAGGAACTGGGGTTAGGATTATTATTATTATCGTTCACTGAGCTAAAATTAATAATACTGTTTGTTACTCCACCACTTCTCTTGGAAGGACATACATACTATTTCAGAGCATTCTTCAATAAGAATTTCAGCGTGGATTCTGCTGTGACTTCAGTGAACCAGTACATCAGAAAGCATGATTTATTTTACTTGAATGTTCACTTCTGGTTTTCTCAGGAACTCTTCAGACTCAAGCATGACAGAGTATCAAGCAGTCAGTCCCCTGGTGTAACAGCTATCATCACGAAGAAGTAATGTAGTTATTCATCTTTCTTAAAAATACATCTTCATTTTCCATTGCATACTTCTATTAACTATGTCCTTACCTCCTGCAAACGTCTTAATGCCAAATGTCTGTTCAACTTTTGCAAAAGGGAAAAGCTCCACCTAGTAAAAACCATTTGGAAGGATTCAATCCTACGCACTGTAATCGCAAACGGAGGGGTGGCCAGCATGTTACAGACATTTAAATTGCAGTGTTAGCATTTTTGTTACTAGTAAGAATATGTGGAGATTGTTAACTGACAGGATTATGGGGCAAGATCAGAGATAGTGATCTGGATAATACAGGTGTGCAGATTTCGGTTTGATAGTTTACAGCTGAGCAACTCTTTCCAATACAGGTACAGGAATCAGTATCCTATCCTGGGTCTTTTGTCTGACGACTACAAGGTTACATCACCCGTCAACAAATCACAAACTATTGTAATTGAGAGGACTGGAGAGATATGGAAACATGTAAGTTCATCTAGGGATTCACTACAGGGTCTGAGATATGGAGTATTTAATTTTTCTTCAAAGACATGATGAGCCAAAACTGATGCCTGAGAGAAAAGAATAACATTAATTTTGCCATGCTGCAAAGAGCAAGGCAATGGAGTCAAGTCAAGAAACTGCACTGTCTGTTGCAAGGAGGCAGTAATTGCTAGGTAGAGTATAAATAAAACAGTGTTGCTATTTTCTGACCTTTAATTACCTTTAACAAAGGAAGTGGTGTTGCTCTAACAGTCTTTGCCCAGGTGCACGAGGCAGTCCTCTGGGCATCACTATCTGTAGTGAGGAGTTGAGAACTTCTTCAGCGCTCTGCTCTCAGGTGGAAGGTACAGGTGGTGTGCTTTGGGTGCATGGCATTCCTCTGAATCAGGAGTATTAATTACTCTGCACTATTATTAAAACAGATTAAGCACCATGTTCCTGAAACTTACACAGAGACAGAGCAGTGACTAATCCAGGAAACACAGAAGAGTGGTGACTTCTTTTTAAAGAGTGACTTAAAGTTACAGAAAGTGGGACTGCAGAAGCTGTTTATGTTACAAGGTACAGGATAGTGTCAAATCTGAACACAAGGTAAAGACTTGAGAAAGATCAGCACAGCCAGCTCACAGCAAGTACAGCAATGTAAGCATAGCTTTCTGGGGGACACAGCCAAGAAAAGGCAACTTAAGGCAATAAGGCAATACGAGCAGCCTGAGTAGGCTGAAAGTAAAACATCTGGCAAGCAAGGAATTAACACAGTAATAAAGAAATAACAGTAATAAAAAGCTAAAATCTCTTCCTTGCTTACTTGAAAAGTTAGTCATTGTTTCCATTTTTATAATGGAAAATGTGAGTGTATGCTGCATTTAAAGAGATCAATATCACTGAATAAATAAGAACTATTAACTGGTTGCATTTTAAGTTTCCCAAGGTCTTTATCACTGGTGCAAGTTTCAGCTGAAACAAAATGACTTTGTCGCAAGATAAACTTGATAAATCCAGTTTAAGAAGTGCCAATTTCCTCCAAGCTTGAGAAATATTTTTTCTGCATTTATGTTCTGCCAACCAAATCTTTCTATCTGCATTCATTACTGAATAGCGATGCTGACTGATAGGAATCTGAACAGAATACTGACAGTAGCACATATGTGACAGTGCCTTTCAAGTAATGAGTATTTATCATGCTGACTCTTTCAGGATGCTCAAGTAGAAGCACTTCACTTCAATCTTAGTTACATTAGAGAAAAATTCTCAGGTAGAAATTCTGTAATGTCTGCTATTTAGGTATCTGATAACTTCCTGTGCTTGCTGGCATTCATAAATATAAAAACAGCCCCTCCCAATATTGTCTACTCTTGTGATTACTGAAAACAGTGAATGATGCCTGTTCTGGCTTCTGCCACTTCCTGGACAGAACTGCCTGCAGCTTAGTGATATGACTTTGACCATTCCACAGCCAGCTGCTGTAAAAGGTGACACACATTGCACTTGTGGAGGGGAAGGCTCACTCAGGCACTAAGAGACTGTTAGAGAAAATAAGCATACAGTTAACTGAAGCATTCTTTGTACAGCAGACAGTTCGGTGAGTATGCATATTACCTTGTAACAGGCTGCTTGTTTCTTTGCTTTTAGGAATGAAAGAAATCCCTCAGCCATCCAAGCTGGTTAAAGGAGTCTACAACAAATATCTAAAATTGCTTTCTTTTCTGCTTTTTTTTTTTTTTTTTGCCTCAGTAGAAGGTTTGGTCTGATAGCGAGAGAAAGGCCAGGGAAGAAATTAAGAACATGAAAGCATGAAGGCAGTGCAAGACAGTGTCTTGTAACAAATGGTAACAAACTGAGGTACCTGTGTCTGTGACGTGTTGCTAACATCTGTTGCACAAATGTTTCTCGTACTGTTTCATGCACTTACTTTTCTCTCAGAAGAGAATGGCAGGCCATGCTGGTGAGAACTTCAGTTTTTCCTGATGTGCCCAACATCTGTTCTTCAGTCACTCTTTCAGCAATCTAAAAGACAGAAGTAGGAACTCTGAAACATTTTTGTTTTCCTCGTGATAGCATTAGCTGTGTTTTTTTCTCTCCTATCTGCTTGTGATTGAGAAGTGAGAGGGATACAAATCTAAGTCACACACACGGAATGGCTGGTTTCAGTACAGACAGAATCACAAATTATCACTTCATCTACTGCAGCCTGTTCAAGATGAAGTAAAACCTGGTAAGAACTGTCATGGGAAATGTTACTTATGTTACATCTGCCTGTCCAAAACTAAACCACAAAGGAAGATGACTTCATTTGTTCCAGATATAGAAAACATAGAAATTGAATTAGCAGATGACTTGATTTGGGCTGATGCCAATTCTGAAGAATGTTACTGACATCAGAATTAACATATTTCAGGTACACCACTATAAGCCCCCAAACCAGCCACAACTATTTATTTTGCTGTGTTTGAAAACATCAAGATCTCATTATATTTTTATATAGAAAAACTTAGCTCACAGAGTATATTTTATTATCAGACCGACCTATTTACAGTTTTTTGCTCCATGCAGGACTATGGGAATTCTCTCATCTGATTTGGTACAAATAATTATGTAGCTGTCTAACCAACACAGTGTGTTAGGTGAGCGGGGAAGTGCTAAAAGAAAATCATAGGCAAAAAGCTTTATGCAGTCAGAAGATGCTAGCTGTGTATCACAGGGTTCTTGCTTTGCTCTTTTTCAGGAATCATAGGCTGTTTCTGCAGACACACACATACTTCTGTTCGCAAATAATATGCAGCATAGACACTGTTTAATGGTGAAAGAACCCTGTTGGCAATATATGTTAAATAAATACAATGTTCTAAATCATGACTGCTGGAAGCAAATTCTATCTACCCGGTACTGGAGGGGGTTGTTTTAGGGGATGTGATGCTTTTCTGAGGCAACAGATTTCTCTATACCAGTCTTTACAAGTAAAGGGATAGTGGGATGCTTCTTTTCTTGCAGTTGATCCAACCTTCGTTCAGTTAATATAACAGCATAGAGAAACCATAATACATTGACATAGTACTGTCAAATGTATTCTATCATAATAACTTTACTGGCACTGTCTAATGACTTACTTATCATCCCTGGTGTCCCACACCATAAAAACAGAAAAAGAATAACACATTTGTTTAATGCCATCATACTGATGGGTGCAGATTTCCCAATGAAAAGAGACAAAACAACTTTCTGACTTACTGTGGTCTTTGCCATGAACTCATCTGGGCTTGACAAGCTAGAAGCATTATACAAACAGTTCCAAAGAAAGAAGCTGCAAACAGCAGAAACATCAGTTATTAATGGACATACTTTACATTCATTTCAGCTACTGCAATGGCTGTACAGTGTATTTACAAATCCTTCTGGAAGATAACTACTACACAGATGTTTCTTTAAGTCTGTATGACTTTCTTAAGACTATAAAAGCACAACAAAAGCAGTAAATGCCCTTATGGACAGAAGAATGCAGACTGAACGCAGACAGAGCTGCTGGGTGTTGTGCTGTCATTCGATGACGAGGCCATAATTAGGCAAATGAATTAGGCATTATGGTCCATTTGAAAACACGATGATTGCTCCCCATACTTAGAGAGCCGGTAGCACACATACTACTAAAAAAATATATTTATAAAAAAAAAAAAAAGCCTGGTTTTCTAACCAGAAATGTCAGTAGTGCATTGTGTCGTAAGGACCAGCTGCTCTGAGGCTCATGAGATTAACTTAAAGCATTCATATACTGTACATTCTGAAGCACTGATTGCCAGAACACCACATTTTACACCCAGGTATCACAAAGCAACAGATACTTGTTGAAAAGTAGAATGAGACGAGATGAACCATAATGACCATGTGGGGTTGGTTTTGTTTTTAAATTGGGTTATTTAATAAAGCAAAATTAGTAGTTTCATTATAAAAGTAACTGATATTTGCTGTTGCATCCTTTCCAGTGAACTGAAATTGATTTACCAAACATTATTTCTGTTGGATGCATTTTTCACACTTACTCATCTCTGTAAATGCCAGTTATCACTCAAACTATCAACAACATTGACAATTTTTCACCTCAGTTTCACGTTTGTCCAATGAGATTGCTACATTTTTTCTGGAGCAAATTCAGAAAATCAAATGCAGCATTTGTGCATTTACAACAAAGTCTGTACTGCCCTTGTCAACTACTAATGGTTTTATCAACTGAACCCTTACGGCCAGAGATCTGACACTATGCAGTTTCTTGCTCTTAAACTGAAGAGTAGGAGAAAAAAGTTCTTTCAGTTTCTCTTGCTGATCTTTCCACACAATTATGTAATACAAACTGTTTCTCTGCCCTAGCTGTGAAATGAAAGCCAAATACAGTCCTACTGTAGAAGTTCCTGACCCCTTTAGCACTGTCTGAAGAGTCAGCATAAGCTGTGAATGTTGCAGCAAGGTAACAAACATACCTTTATCCAACCTTTACCTTGAGATTACTTTGTTGGCGTTCCTCCAGATACTCTCTCCATTTCATCACCTTTAATTGTGGACACTTGAAACCTGAAGAAAAACAATGGATGATGATTAAGTCCTGAGTCACTTTGAACTGCTTCTGGCATTTATGAATTCTGTCATTCAAATTAAAAATGCAACGAACAGCTGACATTCAGAGCAACCCTTCTGCATGTTTGTGAAACTTGTTGCTTGCTCAAGCAAACGTGAGCTGTTTTGTGCATCATGTACAACGCCACAGGAACAGGCAAAGGGAAATCCAAACATGGTCAGGGACAGCTGAGCCACCTCAGTGCCATGCTCCTGGGGGCAAACAGCTTTACAGCACAGGTCAGTGTGCCCTGACAGAAGGCACAGGGCTGCCAAGCTCAGGGGAGCAAGGCAGGGCAGGTGCAGCCTGCAGGGAGCAGGGATCTGAGGATGCACTCAGAAGAATTTTACTGTGACTTCACAGGATGCATTTTAAAAATCATGACACCTCTGGTAACAGCCATCCCAAGTTAAACATATACTGGCTAACTGCACTGAGAAGAATACAGGAACTTCCTCAAACCACTGTGAAATTTAAGAACATGGATACCAGTACTTACTACTATTTTTCCCTTCAACAGTTCTTATTTCCACACTGTCTCTTCTTAGCTACATCTCACTGTCCATTTTGCTGTTCCACTGTCAAAAGAAAAAAGAAATAATGAATATAAAGACAAGTTCAAACTGCTAAAGCAATAAGCCAGCCAAACTGCAGAGGTAACTCATCTTCTTGCTTCCCAGTGGAGAAGGTTGCCCGGAACCACTTCCATTAAACTCGGCTCAGGTTCTCCATCTATCTGTCACAGAGACTACTAGGCTGCACCTGTTCTTCAGCTCCTCTTTCCCTTCCTAAATTTGTTCCTCAGCTGACAACAACCAACTACAGCTGTAGTTTTTCCAACCACTATTTCCTCCCTCATATCATGGAAAACATGCTCCTCTCAGATTTCCACATTTCAAAAGGTAGAACTTTTTTTTTCCTAACCAGAAGGAAATCTCACTAGGCAGACCTTCAGGTTGCGAAACACTCAAAGCCAATTTCAACTTCTGTAATAAAGCATTACAGAACTTTGTATGATGATGAAGCTGAAAATGAAGAAAATCTTTATCCAGCACCCACCATATTGTTCTTGCCATCATTAAATATATTAAAAAAAATCAAACCACACAAAACAGCACTCAGTGGACTTTACAGTGTGTAAGAGTTTAGGGCATGGAGTAACTACATGCAACAGAAAATCTGAGTAAGAGAATTGATGTCCCACACTGCACTGTGCTTTTTAGGATGGTAGACACCAGTGGTTCTTAACTAACATTTATTCTGAGAAGTTTTGGCACATCCCATAACTGGAATAAATAAGCATCGTTAAGGGAGTTTTCTCAGATGAAATCTGAAAGGAACCATACATGAGAAAAACATAGTACAGCTGCCTACTGTTGTTTTCTTCAAACTTCACAAAGATCAGAGCAACTTAACATGGCCATCACTCGAAGATGTGGTGTCACTTCCAAAACCTTGAAAACCATAAACAAAAATCCAGAACTAAAAGATGGTGTCTGGATGAGGTGCTGCATGATATGGTTTAGTAGCTTAGTGGTAGTATTGGTGATAGGAGGACAGTTGAACTAGATGATCTTGTAGGTACTTTCCAACCTTGTGATTCTATGATTCTATGACAGGTAAGATAACAACTGGCGTTCAGTTAGAGACTTAGAAAATAAGAAATCCAACTTTGGTGTGTATTATCTCATCTTACACAAAACAACCATTTATCATGGAAAGAATTGCTCGCATCTCTGCAATTTTAAACTGAAATCTTGTAAGCTCAAAGTCTTCCTCCGTACTCCTTTTTCTGCCACCCTCATGGCCTGTTCTGTACCACACCAACCCTGGTGGGTCCTTAGGCAGTGCAGAACGGAATCTGGTTACAGTGCTGGCTGAAGATGTTAAAAGTACTCACATATCTGGTTATTCTGTCCATCCTGGAGGTGGAAAAATGAGCCAGCACAGAACAGTCATCTTCAGCCTGTTATGAAGGATCTCTTCCAGTCTACGTATTCAATATAATTTTCAGGAATAAAGTATTAAAATTGTCAACAAAACAAAAGATTAATTTTTAACATTTTGTGAGTGTCACTGTCTCCTCCTCTGTCTGCTGGACCTACAGAAGAAGAAAGTATCAGAAACAAAAACCAGACTATTCCATTAGCACCGTCTGCATAGTTTGTTTGCCCGCACAACAGCCACGCGTTGGCTGGCCAACAGCACGCTGGAAATCCTCGATGGAGTGTTCATTTAACACTGCATTATTTTCTTAGTTTCCAATCTACCACTGATGCCATGATTCAAGTATTCTAAGAAGAGAAGAAAATTAAGAAAGCAATGAAAGCAGTATTTTTAGCATTTCGACAGCTGCTCTTATTATAAAGCTAATAAAAGACAGCACCTACCTGCCTTTTTCCAAAAACTGAAATGTTATGTTCTCTTCACTTGAAGGAAAGAATTTCAAAGGTACAGCACTATCACATGTGATAATTATTTAGAAACAGAAGTACGTACGTTACCTGTCACCTTAGCAGCTTAACTGGAACCTCAATATTCCCTCAATATTCCCCCTCAACAGTGGTACACAAACATACCTTGGGTAACCTGCTTACTTGAGATGTTATTACATTTCATATCAACCAGGGAATAACGTAACTAAAATATTAAGGCAAAATTACACCGAATGAGACTTTCCTAAATCACCATAAATGAGAAATAGACTCCAAAATATTTGGAGTGCAAGAGATGCATTTTATTGTACGCCCGTTACGATGAGTAACACATTTAGAAATAATAATCCCACACAGTGACAATCTTATTTTACAGCGTGTACATCATTTTTTACAGCCACATAAAACACGTATTTTTCTAAGAGATTTCCCAAATTTCACTTCCTGAAGTTTAGAAATATAAAAAAAAAATTTTCTCAAGGAACTGATTCTCATCTGGTGCAAAAACAAAATATGAACATATCTGAAACACAAAAAGCCACAATATAGCATGAAGTTACAATTTCTCATGTGAACAGCTGTGTGCAAACATGAAGCAACTAAAAAGAGTAAAAAATACACATTATATGCGTAACACTTATGAACAGGTTGTTCATTAAATAGCCCTAGACCAGCTCGTTATATTAAGCGCCATTTGATCTGCAGCATGCTAACACAAAGCACTGTTTAAAGGGATGCATATTTTAAATGTATACACTGTAAACTGAAGATCCATCTCCAAACTCTAGCGGCAGCATATTTCTCTGGCTAAATACTGCATATATACTTTCTTACAGATTGAAAATGCACGTTTATAGCGTGGTATAGATTTCTTTCTTTTAAGAATTGATTAAAAGGTGCAATTTTATGTCTATATTGAAAATTTCATATTAGGAGGTAGGGCAATTGCCATACCTGCTAAGAACACTGCCCTAAAGAGCTTCTAAGTGCTCTGAATTTTAATTAAAAACAAACTACAGGTTTTTTCAATTTTCTTTTTAATAGTACTTTGAGATCTTAAAGTAGTGAGAAAAAAAAAGTAGTGCTGAGTAGCAACACTATCAGCTGCATCCATTTCATCCTTAAAAAATAGAATCAGATTCAAACTTAATTTTATGTGCCATACTGAACAACATTCAGCCATAGTTTCAGGTAAAAAAGGGAAGTTATGTACATACACGTCTTTAAGCCTAGCACCAAAACACCACCTCTGAGATCACAACGCTGTGTTTTTATCATTGTATCCTGCAATAAAATAGGTTAGCAGCTTTGAAAATCATTACAAATTTCTTGTTGGTCCTAACTAATAGAGGAAACCAAAAAGTTTCCCAATGAAATGTTGTATTTGTTGAAAGCAGGACAACCCCCCCTAACTCTGACCAATTCTAGAATATAATTTCCAGGCACGATTTCAAACGTTATGACCAAGTGACTGACGAATACTCTTCTCTCAGAACCACACAAGAAGCCAGGCCCAGCTGCCTCAGCAAACCAGCTGTGAAGAATCCCGTCACGTATCTGAACTGTTTTAGTATGGAGACAAACGCTCTCACTGACAAAACGGGTAACACAATCATCTTCTTTTTGTCTTCCATAGCTTAACAACGCGTAATACTATTACTTGAAGACATTCATTCATCTTTCTGCAAATTTAAGACATTCATCCATCTTTCTGCATTCTATAGTGCTCTTCAGGTTCTGATAAGCAACAATCATAGGGCTATGAGATCCCCTGTCAACCCTAATACTTTAAGACTTTTAATACAAAGAATGTAAAGTTATGATTTAATATCGAGCTTTGAAACCAGGAGAAACAGTTCATGAGATTTTTTTTTCCCCAATTATCATAACACAGTTTCTAAATTGCTTCCTTCTTGACATCATATATTACATTATGGCCTCTCTGTGGTGCCTCATTATATGCTGATTTTTTTCTGATGGTCTACGGAATCCCTTTTTGCAATACTCACACCTATGTGGATAGTCTTTTGTGTGTATTGATATTACGTGTCGTTTAAAGCCTGATGCATCCGTAGTGCTATATTCGCAATACTGGCATTGATAAACTTTTCTTCCACTGTGCGTCTTCATGTGCTTCTTAAGTTCAGTTTGCTGCCTAAATCCTCTTTTACATCTTTTGCACTTAAAAGGCAGGTCCTTGGTGTGAACTGAGAGGATGTGCCCGCTCAGTATAAAAGGATCTGACGTTTTAAAGTCACAGTGTCTACACTGATGTATCTTTTTACCTTTATGGGTTTCACTATGCTTTTTGAGCTCTGATGGACGATGGAAGCCTTTTTCACATACCTCGCATTTGTGGGGAAAATCCTTCGTATGAACTGAAATAATGTGTCGCTTCAGGTCACTGGAGTTGGTGCTCTTATGGTCACAGTGCGGACACTGATGAGTCTTATGCCCTTGAAACAATTCTGTGTGCTGCTGCAGCTCCTTTTCATCTGCAAAAGCCTGGGGACAGTGCTCACATTTAAATGGCAAGTCGTTCCCATGTTTGGTTTTGATATGAGTTTTCAGATTGGACTGATCAGCACACCTGAAGACACAGTGCTGACACTGGTATGGCTTTTCCCCAGTGTGGGTCCTCATATGCTTTTTCAGCTCTGACGGATGACGGAATCCTTTCCCACACTCCACACATACGTGAGGGAAGTTCTTACTGTGAACTGCAAGTAGATGTCTATTGAGTAGCCCCTGCTCTGCAGTTTCATAGTCACAGTATTTGCACTTGTGCAGTTTAGGCTCTTTGTCCCTCAGTATTAGTTTATTAGAACTCAACGGGCTTGCTTCTCTGTATCTTCTTGTATATTCCGTAAACTCGTGGGTTTTATCAACTTTATTTATAAGTTTATGGCTTTCCAGATGATTGTGGAAACTTACTTTTTTGTTAGTTGTAAAGTCGCAGTCTGTACACTGGTATTTCTTCTTAATCATATGATCTGGATGATTCTTCATATGCCTTTTCAAGAATCCTCTGGATTTAAATTTTTTCCCACATATATGACAAGGGTAAACTGTTAAGGGCTGTCCATCAGGACCTATTATAACAGCTGTTTTTAAACAAACAAAAACAAGTTATGAAGAAAACAAATTTACTGATTAAGAAGTTTTAAATCAGCCAACTGTTGTTCAGATTCATGCACTTACACTTGCAGCAAGAGTTCAGCAGTTTAAAAATAACCAATGCACAGCACCTACAGTTTATATATTGTTTTGTTTTAGAAAGTGATATCAGATGTACAGTGAGTACATCCACAATTACTTTCTAATCACTCACAACATTCAAATGAATTACACCAGTGCTAGGTTGCTAACTTCAATAGCAAAACCTACCACATTTTCTATGCACAGAATTGGAGGGGGAAGGACACAGGAAATCCGCAAATCACCATTTAGATTTTTAATTCTGAACCAGTTTGGAAAAAAAAAGAAAAAAAGAAAAAAAAAGAAGAATAGTAAAGGAGTAAGTGCCACTCCATGAGAGCACACATAACCATACAGTGTTTACCTGTTTGCCATTGCCTGGCCTCTCCTCTCCTCCTTTTCTTGGTTTTTTGTTTTAGCACTCTATTAGTGCTAATGCTATCACAAATCTGCAGGTATTGTGTTGCATTACCGTTTTTGTTTTCTAATCGTGTATCCAAGTTATTCCCTAGAAACAAAAATTAGACACCATAAAAAATCTTAAACAATTATTTTCTTTGGGACTGATGACTGGAATTGCACAGCAAAATGTCTACTTTAAAACAAAACAGATCACCCACTCCTCTGCAATGAACAGGTTTTTTAAAAAGTGCCAGTACAAAGCATTGCCTTTGGTGGCCAAACTCAAGAACTTAATTGTTTAAACAATTAATAATTTTCAAGTACATTTTTTGCTATCTTGTAGTCTCAGAATATTAATTTCTGACAGGTTGTGCCAGTTACTTTCTCATCTCTATCTAACTTGATTTTACTTCCTAGCCAACGGCATCATCTCTGCTCTGACTACCAAACTATACACAACTAATGACTTCCCCATACAATTTGAGGCCCACAACACTTACAGAATTGTTTTCATTTCAAAATAGAAGAGAAATTACTATTCAGTTCTTCAGCTTATGCTTTATGAGTAATTTGTTACATTCTCTGATGGGGAGAATCACAACACATTGATGTATGCTGCTTTAAAGACACTAAGTTACTTGTAAAGCTCTAGACAGCATATTTGTGTGCCCTTACCTGCCGCTTGACCATCTTCATATCTTCTGGGTAGTCTTCTGTCATCTCCTGCAGAAAATGGTATTTTAGTCGTTATAAATTTAAGTCCTTTTTAAAGATGATGGTTTTGAAAGTCCAAGAATGAGAGAAAACTAACTTAAGTAGTAAGTAACAGCTTAATACTGTCCAAAACGAGCTGTGCAGTTCACATCAGTTCAGTATTTTGCAATTACATGCACCAGGAAATAAAGATCGTATCTCTGTCAGTACTTGAATACTCACTGAAGATGTGCTTGCATGCTTACCATACTGTCTTTCCTGCCTCTCACTAGTAATAAGCTTGTTTCTGGAAAGTTCTAACCTTATAAAAAAACCTCAGATGTCCATCTAGAAATTAGAGGGGACCTGAAATCCACAATTTGTTCCTGAGATCAAAGTACTTTGTCCTTATGGAGTAGAACTTGGCAGATAAAAGGACTTCCACCCTACCAGCCATTCCACTCTCCTATGAGATGGAGAAGTCATACTAACAGTTTATTCCTCATTTTGAATTGAAAGTGTTTATTGCTACATGCCAAAGCCTGGTGCTTCACAACCACTTCATCACTCAGCTACTGTGCTCAGAAACAGAACGCCACCAAATCTAAACTACCTAATTTGCTCACTTAAGTAAAAGGCATTGATGATCTTGTACACTTAATATAATTTTAACATGCCAAAATCCTAGAAAAGAATAAATCTGAAATAACAGAATATTCAGAATTTGCAACATATCCTGTTACTTCTACAATTTGAAACATGGCCGCAGAAGACATATTTTGTTTTTCTCACTTATGATCTAAAGGACTAGCAGGTTTAAAATATGTTACATAAATGGAACTGATCAGGGATGAATTTACACATCTCTTTTATTTTTTAAAGGTATTTCCCCTTTCTCCTAGTGAATATAAAATATTTAAGGTTATTCTTGCTTTTGTAAAATCCTTAACAGATGACTTCATCAATCATCAAAAACGTACACACACTGTACAGCTGAGCTGGTATTAAGAACAAGGGTACCAAAGTTCTTCAAACAGCTTTCCTTCTTATTTCATAAAACTCAACATGCAGCAATCCATTCATTGCATGCAGGACAACCAACTACTACAACAATATGACAACTGCTAGGCAGGCTGGCATTGAGGGAAAAAACCAAAAGCACTACAGAAATGAGATTTTTTTTTCCCCTATCTGAATTGCAAAAAGCCAAGGACTTCACATGTGAAAGGTTGTGAATTACGTGGAAAAGAATTTTTCACAGCATTTTATTAGTTTCACTGACTGGCACTGCTAAAAGAGCTGAAGGAGCTGCCTCCAAACCCCCACTCAATAGTGAAAAATTGTGACATTTGTACATAGAATCTGGAAACCAGACTGGGAAAAAAATAATGAAAGGGATTTTCAAAAAATGAGCATAGAGATTCCTACCATAAGCAGCAGCCCAAGCAACAGGAACAAAAGTTTTATTCACACCAGTCTCTTCAAGCTGCGTGTCTGGAAGTGATGTAGCTTCTTCTTCACCTACAATAACTTCCATGTAAACTTCATCTGCTATTTCAGCACAGCCTGAGTTAAAGGAGAAGAATACATTTTACATTTTATTCTGTACATTTTAAATTTTCCTGCATTTAACTTGATTTCCCTCTTATTGATACCAGTTATAAATTAGTTTTCTTCCTCTGGCATTTAGAGCCACACCTTCCCTTAGGGGGTAACTGTTTATTCAGACATTCCTTAAAGAGAGAAAACACACATCAATAAAAGCAAATACAAATTCAAGTATACAGATTTACAGATTTTAAAATGATGACATTTATTTGCCACTTTGCCAGAAAGAGAATTAAACATGGCAATTCACATAGGAAAACAGAGGTGTTAAAAAAAAAAAAAAAAAAAAGAGAGAAATTCAACTAACCTCATTAACTTAATCTATGGACATGTTAAATTTAACATAAATAATGCAATGATGGCATACAATATGAAAAAGTGCATCTTATCCACATCACTTTAAAATAATAATAACCTGCTCTTTATTTTTAGGGAAGATGAACTTAGTTTGTTACTACTTCAGGCTGAAGAATCCTTCAGAAAAGTTTAAAAAGTTCTTGAGAATGATGCTTATATTGTTGTACAAAACAGCACAAGAAACAGAAATGTTTCATATTATGCTTACTAATATCTTCATCTTCCTGAGAAGAGTCCTTAACAGCCATGTAAACCATTTTTTCTCGCTGCATTCTACCAACACCTCCTTGTTCAATTACTCCAGCTACCGAATGTCCATTGTGAAAATCACTCTCTGTGACAATTTCTGTCCCACCTTAAAAAAAGAAGCCAAACACCTTAAGTGCATGTAAACAAAGCCAATCTCAACACTAATTTCAGACTGAAGTGTTTTACAACAAAGCTATTGTATAAAACTCATCCTTTTGAAAGCAATGGTTTCCAAAACGTCGAATTAACATAGGAGGTAACCCCATCACCAGACAACAGAAGTCAGATCCCAGGCATGACAAGAGGAACTTTTAAGAAAATTAGAAATTTGGTCACTGTATAACAATGAAACTAACACTGATCCAAAACATCAGCCCAGTAAGTCTGCGTAGGAGGGTTCAACATCACGCAGCTAGAATGAGAGGCAGCAATACGCATTATGCTCCCATAATACTACCCACAAACTGCAATCAGCATAAATGAACTACCAAACAAATACCACTGCATTGCTTCTAAAGTCAAGCTGGATCACACGTAGCACTCTGGTCCCCAGATACAGAGGTTTCACTCAACTGGACTTGCTGGATTCAGTGTTAATAAAGAACACTTTATTTTTCCGCTTTTAATTTCTATACGCTCCCCAAAGCTCTGATTGGCATCATGTGCCATGAAGAACTTGAGGGAAGACACAGAGACACCCCCATAGTCCTTAGGTTTATGAGGGCTGAAATTACAACCAAGGAATCCAACACAAAATGTGGGAGTAAAATGGAAACTAATGAGAAATGATAAGCAGTGCCACAGAGGCAATTAAAGCCAAATCTTTCTTTTGGGACTGACTGTCAGATTACATTTGGAATACGTACGTATGTGTGCCAAAACAACTGGTCATTTTCAGTATTTATTATTCTATTTTTTACTTTTCCATATTTACCACAAAAAATGCAGGGGATTTTACTACCACAGCTTATTTTCAGAACTTTCGTCTAAAGTGGCTCAGCCAGGACATCTGTCCAAGTAACAACAGACTGCAATGCACTGACACACAATGAGACCAATGCTATCAGTAATAGTACTATTAAGAATACTTGTTACTCACAGCATTCAATCATGCAAAATCAAAGAAAATAAGTATCTATGGAAAAAAAAAAATGCAGCTGTTCGGCCACTTCTGTATTTGGGGTTTGGTAATAAACGACATTCCAACACTGAAAATAAATATTGCTCGTCAAAAAATGACCTGAAACATTGAGTATTATCAGCATATGGGCAATTCCTTCCAATTTCACTCTGAGGAACAATCCAGTCAGTGAATTACAAGACAGAAAGACCCGCAAACACTTCTCCATACTACTGGAAAAAAACACAGAATTTAAAGAGGTACCTATTTCAACATCATCTTCAGCTTCAGCTTTAAATATGTATACTTTGATAACTTCAGAACCAAACCCATCATCTTTAGCCACTTCATCATTTGTCACTTCAGTACTGATTTTCAAGGGAGTGCTTCCTATGTGGTCCAGTTTTTCTCCAACATCATCCACTGTAAAGATAAAAGAGCAACAATGAGGCTCAAACATACTGTCACATGTTAGCATGATTTTCTCCGCTACTATCCCCACACATAGTAAAGTTTTGCATACATTAAGGGCCTTTACAAAATAAGTCATCTTAAGGAACTTAAAAGAAATTCCAGAAGCTCAATACTCGTTCTGTTGCAAATCTGCAATCATTTCATGAACTACTAAGTGAAGAACATGAGGGAACTTTGGTCATCAAAGTATGTAGTTTTGCCTGAAACTATTACACTGCAGAAGCAAAAATGTATCAGTAGGTGAAATCAAACAAGTCTCCATAAAAATGTGAAAAGCTAGCCCAGGGTTGCCTGTTACAGTGCAAGAGTTCCAAGAAGCTTTACTACTCTACAATACTCTACAATACTAAGATTTAGTAGTAGACACTCTAATCAACAGTGGTATCTCCTGAGTATACTCCAGTGACAGAAACATGAATAATTTTCAATTTTCTATCTAAAGGAAATCACGATTTTATCAAATTTTACCATTTGAAAACATGCCAATTAATAAAGATCATTGTATAGCATACAGCTGATTGAAAGATGAGACAAAAGTAAATCCAAGTAGTATTATCTAAAGTTGACTTTCTTTATGTGTACACATTTGCTACTATTGCTATTTGATGTATTCCGGCCTACATATTCAATAAAAAATACATTAAAACCATTAGAAGTTTTTGTCTTTTTACCACTGTTTTGGTAAGAAGAGCATGCACAAAGATCTCCACATATGTATGTCCCAAGTTGCTAACATGGAGGACAGAGACCCAAGCGCCTTTCTGACACACACACTGCCACCACACTACTGTCAGTGGACAAAATTAGCTCCTTTGTAGATGGCCAGCACAGGCCTACGTAACACCCACAGACATCCTCTGACCAGGGATGAATCCCCCCAAATGTAAACAAAACCTGAAATACATACATTTCATGGACATCGCAATGTACTGCATATATAACATGTGTAACACTGGGGGGGGGGGGGGGCTGAGTTTAACACTTCTGTGAAAAGAGCGCTTCATGACTACGACTGTGAGCATACTCCATGGGGGTGTGGAGATTTCCCCACGTTTCTGAGGCTCACCTTGGGATGCTGCAGTGCTCCCCAATGCCCCTCTAAGCTTCCTGCTCTCTGTGCTGCCACTTCTGCTCCTGAAGAGCTGCTTTTAACTACTTCAGGCTACAGCCCGGTGTGCTGAGGTACACTGGAATTAGTTTAGGCTTTTCTTAATACTCAAGGCAGTCACGTGAGATGGTGCAGAACCCATTACAAAAACAACAAGATGCCTTTCCTGCAGCAGGGCTGGAATTCAACACAGCAATCCCAAACTAAGCTCCTCCCACTCACAGACAGGATTCCATGGAAAATAACCTATCCCAGTTAAACCATTTTCCATCCGCACATTCAGGAACCTTATTTTTATTTCAGAAATTTTGAGCTGCATCAGAAGAGTACAGAAATTAATGAGAGCACAACTAGGTGTAAAGCAGGTAAGCATAAATAAGTATTTCATTTTAAAACTTCTGAATATTACATTTTATATTATTCTATATTTTGATAAAAACAGGAGAATATATTTAAAAAAAAAAAAAAAAAAAAAAAGAACTGTTAAATTGTTTCTGTCTGTAAGTAACAGACTGACTGAAATGCCCCAGTGCATCCCACTTGGATCAGTGGAAATAATGTAAAATTACCCTCAGAAAAAAAAGATTTTTGTTTTGTAATTAAAAACATTCTAAAACTCTACAAAAATTACCACCACCACCACCAATCCCTTATCTGCTAAAATCTGACATGCAGTACATTACACTCACATTACCTTACAGGGCAATGTAACAGTCAGAGTATCGATGCCACAAACAACAAAGCCACAACTTATCCACAGCCTTCAAAACACACATTTAATTTTAGTACAAGGAACATTTCCACTGTGTACACAAATCTATGACGGATCAGGATCAGAGGCAACTAACAGAGAAAGGCAGGGGTGATTGTACAAACAGCTATATGACTAGATACACTGCCAAAACATAGAAAGAGAAGCTGAAGGCTGGGTATTCAAAATCACTAATTGCACTAATTGCTGCCTCTGTAATCTTACCATTGGCAAGGAGCAGTAAAGTTATTTTCAAATCCATAATTCAAACAACATGAACTTTTTCTAAACTCATGTGTTTTATAATCATAACATGTTGGTTTCACACAGGAAACAGGCATTTCAGTACTGAAGTAGTACAGCAACTTCCTACTGAACTGAGACGACATCAGTTACATGTGGTACCCTTCCCTCACAGAAAATATCCCCAATTATTTAACTGAAGTTGGATGACTGTATCTGGTGAAACAGCATAACAATAAGCAAACCATATTAGAGCCTTACCATGGCATCAATTGCAACTCAAGAAAGATTACATAAAGATTAAAAGAAGGAATTTTCAATTTTAACTTTTTTTCAATCAGATTAAGGATTTTCACCCAAAAATTTAGTGTAAACACATGAATATGGTACACATGGTTACATGCTGGTGCTGTATTTCACCAATTCAAATTTGTAATGTTCTTTAAAAAAAAAAAAAGAAGGATAAAAAGCCATGCTTAGAGGGACAAACTCACAGCAGCACTTTTAAAATCAGCAGTGACTCCCACACCATTGACCATCCTCTGTGTTTACCAAGATCTGTAGTCTCTACAATTTCAGCTAAAGTTATGGAAATAAAGGGAAGTCTGCATGCAGAGGGCCTTTGAAATTACTTTCCTGGGAAAGTGAAGTGAAATAAGAAAACCTGAGAAGAACCAAGTGGGCTGAGGAGCTGTTACTGCCACAGACCACCAACTGTAAGATAATGCAGTTTAAGTACCTGCAAGAAAAGACACTGGCTGAACAATTGATACTCCTTAGATTGCCATCTTATGCAAACTAAACTTGGTGGTTTCAATCAATTATTCAAAAACAGATTTAAATCGGAAAAAAAACAACAGCAGGACATGTAATCTTTGTCAAGTTCCAAAACACGGGGATTTTTTTTTTTCTTTAAAGGCTATGAAAATATTCTATGGTCTAAGTGATGGGACTTAATTACACACTGGTATCCCAATGTCAAAAGAACTGATGCCTTTTCCCAGTGATAGTTCCTAGGAACAGGAATGCTTCCTTTATGTCAACAGAAGAATATGAAAGTGCTTTCCACATCTGACTCATCTACCAGAAGCACTACATATTATTATCTTGTCATTTAAAATTAACTGAAAAAACACAACCGAAAACTTTTATAAATATATGCTGAATCCTCCTGAATAACAACGTTTAAAGGAAAACTCAGCACACTTCTAGTATTAAACTTACCTTGGCTGTTTTCAGGTGTGTGATGTCCAGATTCACCGTGGATTGCCAGCTCCAGGTTCACGTGATGCCTCAGCATGCACTATGCTGGTGATACCACACCCACCATAGGAGCCCATAGGAATAACACAAGGGCAAGATAAGTCCAGTGGTTTCACAATTTTTCATATTCTTCCAATGTCTGATATACTTATTTTATATCCCATTGGTCACAGTATAGGAGTACTAAAATGTTCAGCAAGCTATTTAACACTGTACTGTAATACACTAAAAAGGAGGCGGCGGTGACAGTACCTTACCCCTAAAGGCCAGCTCCAGAGTTGCTCTTTGGTGGGTATGAGGTCACCAACATAGTGCATGCAGGGCCAACGCTCGGGTCGGGAGCTGGCAATCCCCTGTGGGTCTGAATATCGCAAACCTGAAAAACAAAAAAGGGCATGCTTTAAGCTACACGTGTGCTAATCCCACCCTGGCAAAATGGGATGCACTGCTTATTATATTCACATCTCAGTACAGAGACGGCATGATCACACCACGTGCATTCATCCTGTATTCATTTCCTTTGAAACGAGTACTTTCTCAGCAGGTATTCCAGAGATTTAGAAAAGGGGTATTGTGCATCTCCCGTGGCACACCCCTTAACTGCATCAAAACCAAGCATTTATGCTTGCAAAGCTGATTTTAAAAGCTGAATTCAACAGTGCTGGGACAGTGCCAGAATCTACCCGTCAGTGTATTTAAGCCAAAATCCCCAGCAAAAGAATAAGCTGAAATTTTAAGTTAACACTCATGCTCAGCTCAGCTACACGCTCTAAAATAAAAACATATATACATATTAAAAAACACTTCTAATATTTTACAAGTTCCCCACAATGTGCTCCACAGCTGGAATATTCCCCAAGGGTACAACTGTCACACTGTGTATAGTTCCCCCTTTTCAGCTTCTGAATTTCACTAAATACAGATACAAAATATTATGAGTCTTTAATATTTTGAAGTGATCTACGTTAAAATTTACTTAGAATTTAATCAACCCTATGAACACACCCTAAAACAAACCACACCATAAATTAACTTTCTACAATATTCAGTGAACATCTGAAATTAAAAATGTAAGTAAAAATGTCTTTAAACTTGTTAAACCTGTTAAATTGATATATTTATCTACTATACACAGACATTGTCTTCAGAACCATAACAAATTAATGGCCAATTTATAGAACATAAAATAAACAAACAGAAAACGTGCAATCAATGAACTGCATGGGACTCATTCACTTTTGCTGAAAAAATAACAGAAAATAAAAATCAACAGTGCATCCTTTGTCAGTTCCGGCTGGCTCAGAGCACAGCACAGCCTCAAAACTTCACAGAGGCAAAAGCCCTGCCTTAATATGCACCTGATTACTTTCAAACAAAATTCCAGACTAATAATGTCGCTTCCAACCACGATTACTCAGACATATCTGTCATACAGACAGGCAGAAGTGATTTGCTTAAATCTGGGTCTCAGACTGGCTTTGAAACACTGGAAAAGCCACGACCAGTCTTGAGCACACCTGACAACACTAGGTATGTACAGCTGGGGTCACCAGGTAACCTACTGAAGGCTGAGATGCTCTTGTCTAAGGACAGCGACTGTTACAATCAAATCACAGATCTATCTAACAAGAATTCCAAAGATGACTTTACTTACAATTACAAAGGTGCAGCTGGAAATACCACGGTTACAGAATACAACTCATCGTAAGTACTCTGTCAGAAAGGAGGAATTTTTTCAGTGAAACTACTGACTGTATGAATGGCGTTCCTTTATTTACAAACACATGGGATGTTTTATATTGCAGGTTTAACTTGCTTTTAGGCTGAGGATTTCTTTTGGCTCTCCTACCAAAGTAGTTGCAACTTCCATTAGTGGCATGTAACATTACAGAAATCACAGGATGGTAACCTTATACTGAATGAAAAATAAACGGCAGAGGGACAGTGTGCAGCAGTACTATGAAAAGTGCTCTATTTCATGCAATGAAATATTTAAATCATCACAATCGCTGATCTGCCACACCCAGACATTTTTAAATGGAGCTTACTGAGAAGAGATGGACGTTTCAGCACTTGGCTTCTTTTTAACAAACCCAGAACACATTGGGTCTGACAAAATAAAATCTGTTCTGATGTGCTGACGCTGCAATACCTGATTTGGAGAAATCAAAAATCCCAAAAACCATCATATTTTACCTGATCTGTGTGTAAGAGCAAAAACTGCTATCTTAGGTATGATTTAACCACTGACGAAACATAATATACCTAAGGTATAAATTCACTAACCCTTTTAGTAGCTCTTGCTCAACTCATAGACTGTAACTACACAGCTTCCTCAAAAGTTTGGACAGGGTCTGAATGCCATGTGGAAACTGAAGTAGGCAGCCTCCTTCCACTTACAGAAAGTTTCTCAGTTAATGTACTCAACTCCTTAATGTCAAGTTGTGTCCACAACAGCACAACATGCAAGAAAATGGCTGTTACTGTTTTTAATGCAGCTAAACAATGTTTTGTTGACAAGAGGAAAAGAAAAAAAAAAAAAAAAAATGTATCTTGAAAAAGCTGCCTTCTTTGTTGGATTCTACTCATCAAACCCATCATGTCATTTCTTTGTGAACCTGCATAATACAGTATTATACCTCTGTTTAAAAAAAAAAAAAAAAAAAGTTTCCTACTCAACATGTATGTGATTTTTAACTTCCATATGTTTTTTCTTAATTTTGGGGAATATCAGTTTCAGAAACAGAAGCCTACAGATTCAACAGCTTGAAGATCATTATTTTTCTTGCTGTATCACTAATAATTATTTTCACTATGCAAACTCAAATCCAGACAAGAAGAATTAAAAAGAATTAACTGGAGAGCTCCAGTACAGAGTGCAGCAAGGATCCAGGTAACGTGATTTCTCTCCACTAGACCACTTCTACTTAAGGTAATCTCCTGTGCATGTCTACCTTTGTTTAACTTACAAGATATCATTAAGTAGTCTTCCGATGTACTCTTGCCATCATCATCATCTTCTGTTTTTATAGTCACTGTAGAGCCAGGAACAGTACCAGCTGCCTGAACGACTGTTTCAGAATCTGAGTTTGTTACAAGGACTTCTTCTGAGACCATCGTAGGTGAGTCAGCTGCTGACACGGAGTCTTGCACCACGTGCTCCAAATGTCCATCGGGACCCGTAACAAGGTCAGCCACAAACACCTGGTCAGGAACTCTAACAGCTTCTGTTATTAGATCAGAAGTCAGAACATGATCACTGGTATCTAGTGCTTCTTCAATAGCCACATCAGTTTCCAGAACAGAATCAGGAACAATGACACCCTCTGTTACAACATCAGTTTCAGTGATGATGTCTGGTCCTTGCACAACTTCAGCTGCTAAGCCATGGTCAAGAGTTATTCCATCATCGGTAACAACATCAGAAACAAGGACAGCTTCAGGGACTGACACAACAATATGATCTCCATCAATATGAGCAGTGCCAGCCATTCCAGCCACTATGAAACAATTAGGAATGAGGAAAAAAAAAGGTTAAAATTATTGCATTAGCAGAGTTTATCCAAGGAACAGAATAATTGTGTAAGTGAGGTAAACACAGATGTAAATCTGTTATTTTTCAACAATCTATACTTTGCACCTCACCAGAAAAGACTGCTCAAAGTAGTCCATGTGCTAACAATACATTCTTTGGTGGTACAATAAAAGGACTCTGACACTTAAGACTGGAGAGGCCTTGATAAAAATAAGCATTCTATCATAAGCCATATTTATAGCACAATTTCCAACAACTTGCCACATTGCAATCAATAGCTAGAAGTAGAAAGCAGGCCAGTCATATTTGAAAGCTACTTTTCTATAAAAAAAAAAAAAAGTGAATTGTTGTAATGCATCCTGAAATAGCAGATTGAATCTTAATGAATAAAACATTCACTTACAAGAGTGAAAAAAATACTGGAATTATTCAACACTGCTGCAAATGCGATTATTTTGGCACTTTGTGAAAGACATTAATTAATCACAGATTCAGTTACATCTGTAAATTGTTGCTACCTAGAAAGTTACTTGTTGACACACAAAGACTTCATTTTCCACCTCATTTACACCTCCTAAGTGAGAACTGGAGACAGTCATCAAGGCAACCAACAAAAGCTCAGCTGTACCTGCACCAGCATGCAGATGTAACAGCAGACCAGTGGTATTTCAAGCAGAGGCACACACTACAGCAGCACTGAACTCCTTACAACATCTGTCCCACCCACAGCACTCTGAACCACAGATGGCTGTTATTATCTTTTTAAGTTACCTCAATTTTTTGGGATAGGTGATTATTTCTAGCTGAGTGACCAAAGCATATACAAAGCCTCATTATACATTTACTAATATTTTGAAATTTCTCCAAAAAGCCATGCAAACATCACTGTTGTACTAGTCAACTTCACATCCTGAAATCACTTGCAAACATACAGCAAACCTAAGAACAGTCTTGATGTTATTAATTAATGTTTAACAGATAAAATGTTTACCGAAGTCCTGCATAATCATAGCGTGAGGCATTTTGGATTCTTGTGTTTGCAATCCAAGACTTCCACCACCCGGATCCATATTCAGCAAAATTCATTCACAAATAACTGCAAAAGCAAAATCAGAGTTTGTTAACCACAGCACCATTGTGTTTGTCAGCTTCACTGGATTCATGTGTCACACTAACAGAAAACCATCCACAAGTTCACTAAAAAACAAGCAGCACTTCATACAACTCACTTTGCTTTCTCCCCACAGCTTTATGCTTTGTGACCTAATATCCCATAAATGTTACCATCTGTAAATAATCATGCAGTACTCAAAAGAATTATTCACGCAAGTGAAATCAAACACGTTAATAGTTCTTTTCCTATGTAAATCTCTGGTTACTGCCTGGCCTAGAACAGTTCGTAATCTGTGTAATTAAACCAAGAAGTAGAGGAACCGACTTTGACTTTACTTCTAGGAGCTGCAAATACAAGAAATGTCACAACCTTCAATTCCCCCACTGCAAACTGAACGTGAAGCTTTGCAGCGTCATGGGGCCATCTCCATAAGTAACACTCACATTCACAAGCAATATAGGCAGTAGCATCAGGCCATCCTAACAAAACAATGTAACGCATATTAGGAACCAACAACCTGATTAGATGTAACTACTATCCAGAAGCAGAAATTTGCCATGAAGACTATTATCTTTACAGGAAATAAACCACAGGTGACAGTGAGGAGAAGCAACAATCAGAAGTCACCTGAGCAGGATGACCACCTCCAGGCCTTACCCTACCAACCTGCACCAGCAGCCAAGAACAAGGAGCCACCTGTGCTCAGCCCCTGGATACACTTTCAACAAATTATCAGGGCTGGCCAAGACGGCTGCATGGAGCACAGTGCACTGAGAAGCAGTTTTTCAGATTCTTTCACGATTTTCTATCAGCTATCTCAAACATGTGTCAATTTTTTCATGTGTAGATTTCATTAAGCAGATTAAATGGCAGTTAAGTTTTGAAAAAAAGCTGCACTGTGCACGACATTTACGAGAACAGAAGTGCTGAAGCAGCTTTTCAGCAGCTGTGCGTGAGCCCCCCTGTATCATCAGAAAATAGTCCAACACAAGACCTAGCATAAGATTTCAGCCATGTGCAGTTAGATGCGCACACAGTGCAAAGCTACCCAGTGCAGCAGCAGGAACCCTGTGTAAGAAATGGCAGTGCAGCATCTCCACTGCCACAGGACTTTGCAGAAGAAACAACAGAGCTGACCTGCCTTCTGCACCAGCATCTCCATTCACCAGCCCAGCTCCATCCACACTGGTTGACGACTTTCACAAAATTATCTCGTTATTTTAGAAATCTGATCTTCCAAGCACTATCCCTTCTGTGCCACCTCATTTCTGCAGCCAAGAGAAAGCTGGTCCTACACAGCCATCTGCAACGTCCCTCTGGTGTAAAAACAGTCCTGTGCAGCTTTTTATAGAGCAGACCCACCAACCAGTTGTAAAATTCCTGCTGTTACATCTTAAGCTTCCTTGCTTTGGTGTTCCATACCTGCTTTGCTACTTTGGCTCCTTAATGCTCAGGGGCTTCTGTTTCCCAATTTATCTAACACAAAGAAATACAAAACAGTAACAACCAATCTTAAGCAGACAAAATAAAGATGTGGAAAAAGCAATCCATGCTTACTGTAACTTCATTATCAAGGAAGGAAATGACCAGAGGTTATTCTTTTACACTCTTGAAATCCTCAGGTGAGAAAGCAGCAAGCAGCCCGCAAAGATGGAGATTTCAATCAACAGTCATCGCTCCAAACGAGGGAGGCTCCAACTTAACTGAGGACACAAAAGAACCAAAGAACTGTTATCACCCAGAGTCAGCATTGCCCTTTAATACTTTTTCCCTGCAGCATAGTTAAAATCTATTTATCTCAAGTTGTCTTGAAATCTACAATGCAGATTCTTAGAGAAGCAAAAAAATGAATGTATTTCTTCCTACAGAATTTACTCTACAACAATCTCCCAGATCATTTCTGAAGGTACTTAAACAGGGTAAGTTGTTTCCACAGACCAACAAATGCTATGAACACAAAAGTCAAACATCACCAGTGAAGAAAGCAGGCTAGAACTTAAATAACACAATCCTTCAAACATTCACATTTCAATGCAGTTTTAAAATTTTAGCTTCAAGTTCCAATTCATTCATTGGTGTAAGAACCATAGAGCAGCTTCAGAACTTTAATCCAGTGCTCAACCATTCCTAAATCACTGCCACAGCACCTGAAATTCTTCAGGTCATTAACAAATGCTGATACAAGGTAAGATACCATTCCAGACCATAAACAGCTCATCAGATGGAGCATCCAATGGAGCGATTTCAGAACTAATGCAGCACTCTCCAATATCCCAACCACAGTCACTATCCTCAGGGAACAAGGTCACTACCAGTCTGAAACTACAGGAGAAATATACTGGGTTTTGTTCTTTCTTAATGAGCAACTTAATTATAGACTACGCAGTTTAGAGGCTCAAATATATCATATAATGTACTACACAAAAAATTCAGTACACAGTAAGACTATGATTTTAATTTAAATCTCTGCAAAGAAAACTAATCATCACTAAGAATAATTTTTCCCAGTTAGTAACAGGAATATGAAAGTGATCCAAGTTCTGGGATGGCAGCCCCTGGGCATGCACACATCTTAAATTCTGCACTCACAACCAAGATGGACAAAGATGTGCCAGCAGGGAACATGCAGAGCTGTGCCCTGGTTGATGCAACTAGCATCCAAGCACTGTGAGTACACTCTCATGAGCCCTTGGTGCAGGCAAAGGGCAGAGCAGCATCAGCAATTAAATGAGAGATTTTCTTATGCCTAATTTTGGATTTAGAAAGAATGCAATGACAGCAGGAAGGCCCCTAATGCTTGGACAATTAACAGATAAGGCTCATGGCTCTGCTATAATTGGTATTTTTCCTCACAGGTCTCAGTAACACAGTTGATTTCACACACTACACATCCACACAAATCCGATTCTTATAAGCAGCACAGAAACACGGCACATTGATGAACTGTGGTTCTTCACAGCTTCCTTCTGTAGTACACAGCATTTCACACCCACACAATTACAGAAGGCATGTTCCAATCACATATTAAAAAAGGACATTGAGAAATAAGCCAGAATGCCTCAACTCTGGACTCTGTCACAGCCCTGTGTTCACACACATCTCTCCTCCATGAACCTATCATGACATCAAGTTTTTCCTCTTCCTTCTCTCCTTTAGGTATTCAGAACAAAATGCTGCAAAGTACTTCATTAGCCTCAGGCAATAAAATAATTTCACTTTAGAACATTCAGTAACACGTTCATTGGTTTAATTGCAGCATGCTACCTTGGTCAAGACCAGGCAATACACTGTACAACAAAAAGGGAACCCAGGACCTTTCTGTCTGGATGCAGGAACACATGCAATGTGTAAACACATGCAAACGCTGTGTGTAAAACCAAACCTAACGCTTGGCATTGGGGGACTACCACACTTAACATCACTTTGTGCATGTGTTGATGTCCTGTGATGCATTTTCATACAATGCACACCTGATGGTCGGCCTTAGCTTCTCCTCTGAAATAGTATAATTCTTCTCATTAATATTTAAGACATGTTTACATATAATGAAGTAAAATGCAGCATCGGACTTGGCCAGGAGCTGCAGATCCTCTCGGGCTGCACGTGACATTTGGTTAAACTGAAACTCAGCTACAGGAGTGTTCCAATATAACACAGGAAACAAACTCAGATGTAGCTAAGAAATTCAAACCAGATGTTTTCAGATTCTTCCACCTATTAAAATTCGAGTTCAGTATCAACAGAAAAGAATTATCTTCCCCTGAAAATATTTCAACCGCGTTTTCCCTTTCAAATTTTAATGCAGCAACCCACAGAAATGGAACGGCAGAAACAGAACAGACGGCGCCAATTCAGAAAGCAACACGGAGCACAGCGCGAACCGTGTGCACAAAAAGACCGGGAGTTACAGCTAACGTATCCGTTTTAAAGCCCTTTACTGCGATCACCGATCCACGGAGACATTTAAATGACAAAGACGGCGAAAGACCGTCCCGCCGCCCGATCCGCGCCCCAAGCCGCACGGATTAGGGATACAGACGCGCATCCCCGCCGGCAGCTCCCGCCCGAGGGAGGGACGGGACAGGGCAGGGCAGGGCAGGGCAGGGCCGGGGCTGCGCGGCTGCGGAGCGCTGCGCGTGCCCACGCACCGGGCGCGCCGCCGGGCGTCGGGAACGCGGCGCCGGGAGCCCGCAGAGGCGGTGGGCAGCGCCCGGTTCCCGCGCTCCGCAGCGGGGCTGCGCGGCGGCGGCCGAGGGCGGAGCGGGAGCGCGGAGGCGCCGAGACAAAGGACCCCGCGGGACGCCGCCCGCAGCGCGGGGGCCGGAGCCGTCCGTGGGCTACCCTCGACGCGGCGGCCTGGCGGCCGCGCCCCGGGCCGCCTCAGGGCTCCCGTCCCGCGGCGGCGGCGGGCCGGGGAGGCGGGGATAACCCCTGTCTCGTCGAGCCGCCGCCTTCCCCGCCCCGCCGGCCGACATTTTGTTTTCCGCCATTTTCTGGCCGCCCGCAAAGGGCCAAGCGGCCCGCGGGCACCGCCCGCCCGCCCGGCCCGGGCCCCGCGGCACAACGAGCCGCCCCGCCTGGCCGGCGCTTCGGACCCGCCCGCAGGCCTCGGGCGCGGCCCGACCGCCTCCTTCGTCCCCGGTCCCGCCGCCTCCGCTCACCTGTGCGGGTCCCCGCGCCGGGCGGCCTCTCGGCGGGCTGCGCCCGGGTGTCGGGCGGCGGGAGGGGGGGAGGCCTCGGCCCGCAGGACTCCGCCGCCGCCGCCGCGGCCTGGCATTCGGGTCCGCCAGGGCCGGGCCTGCACCAATCACAGGCAGGGCCGGGCGGCGGGGCGCGAGCGCGCGCGGCCTGCTCCCCTC